ATTGTGAAGACACCAAAAATGCAAGAAAGGGTAGCAGGACCTTCCACCTATGTTTCTAAAATAATCCAGAGTTCAGGGAGGCAGCCACACTTTGGCTTTTTTTCACCGTGGGTGCTAAAGGACCTTGTCCAAGCACTTGGCTTTCTTACAACTGGTGGGTAGAGCCTGGAGGCACAGATAAGGGTGGCATTAGCATAGCGTGGTCAACTGGTGATATTATTCGCTTGCAGTGGGAAGAGTCAGGATTCTAGCTCCTGGGCAACGAGGGTCAAGCAAGCCTTTCGAGTGCAGACACCACCCTTAGGAGGTTGCTGAGACCTTGGATTGGGAGCAGATGTTCTTCAGTTGGCATGGCCATCAACAGAGGAGCACTTGAGTTGGGCTAAGTGTTCACAAGTGTTGCCCATAGTGCCATCAAGACTCAAGAGTGTGTCACGGGCAGTTGTCAGTCTATGCCACTACTGCCAAGCAAAAGAGAAGCTACCACAGATGTAATGGTGCTTAGTTCAGAAAGTACTGTTGCATAGTACCAATGAGTGGATTACCGCCATCACCACAAGGGGTTCTGGGCCTACACTCTAAGATGTTCCCAATATTATGGAAGTTTGGAAGGAACTGTGTTTCTGAGCAAGTCTGCACCTTTTCCCTGTCAGTAGGACAGTTCAGCTTCATCTAAGAACTGTTCAGCTCTGATCTTGCACAGCCAGCTTATGTCATGTGATTGTCACTTCCAGCAGTCGGCAAGTAGTGGTGCCAAGCGTTTTGGTGGTACTATTGCACTTTTCTGGTTAACGCAAATTGGGCCAGCAAGACCAATCTAAATAGTTATTGTGCATTTTAACTAGAATGTCTTGAGTCTCAGCTGTACTTTGTGTTTCCCAGTAATAGGAACCAGAGAACCAAATCACATAGTTAAGAACTAGCAACAACTGCCTGGTTCCTCCAAAAGTCCACCTTGGGAAGAATCCCATGGTTATCCTAGTTATCCAATTTGTGAGCACCAAATGTCTTTGCAAGCCCAGATATTGCCTCAACATCACTATGCTGTACATAGCCTGTGCAGACAACATGCCCTTCCCACTATAAGACTACAGGAGGGGAGGAGACCAGACCAGTTACCCTGCAAAAGAAGAGAGAGCAGCAGTGACCGGTCTACAGGAAGCTCCAAGTTTCCCACTGGATTACTGCACAGATCTGGAAGAAATACACACAGCTCACCAAGATACAAGAAGAATACACAAGACTCTTGTATGCTGACAATATTTACTTGTCCTAGAGTTCAGCTTTAAGGCTGCTGAGAATTGTGGGGCAAAAATCCCTCCCTCTGGGACAATTATGTAACATGGGGGGAATCCCTGCCCCCTAGAGCAATTGGAATCCCTGCGTCCTGGAGCAATTTCCCCTATGTCACATCCTTCTTCTTTCCTTTGGCAGTTATGTCTCATGGGGGGGGTTGGGTATATATAGTAAATTGCATTATAGTAAAGGGTTCCTTTGGGATTTCTTGTAACTAAATTACTACTGATTATTTTCCCAGCACTGTACATAATTGGGTCCACTCTGCCTAATGACCAGAGCAGTTAATTGCACATTCTCCATCTCCAGTCACTAAAGCCTCTGATATTGTACAGTGAATCACGTGTTCATGTGCCACGTACCGTCCACCGGTCGTAACGCTATTACATAAGTCCTCATTAGACAGTAACTTGGCGTGCATTGTTCCTTGCGCGCCACACAGCCCTTCTAGGGTCTCCCGACTAGGGGTGGGGCTGAGTGACAACTTCAGTTGTGTTGTGTTACCAAACTCCCGCAAGGGTAAGATTTGCCGGCTATAAAACAGCTTATTTGGCATTGGAGGTATCACGTTGTCTATTATTAGGCACTGACTCTAATCACTATAACTATTCCAGAGCCTCTCAGCTAAAACTATAATTATCCTTTAATTGGGCTGACTAGCTGCTAGACTCTCGGAACTTCAGCTGTTGTGGAAATACAAGTCCCATGAGGCATTGCAAGACTCTGACAGCCGCAGGCATGACCACCAGAGGCAGAAGCATGATGGGGTTTGGAGTTTCAGCAAAGCTCGAGGGCCAAGGTTGTCTAGCCCTGCTATTTATTTAAGTGCTTCCCCACTCCAGTTAAAGCCTGACCTGCAAGTGCTGTCTTAACAACTGTCCCACCTCAAACTATTACATGCAATATGACACTACCAGAGCTACAGAAAGGACAGACTACACATACCACTTCTCAGCAATAACTGTGGCCTGCTGTGTACTGACTTTTCATCACTGCAAGGCGTGCGGCATCTGTATGAGCAAACCCAGAATAAACACCGGCCCTCTTGTTCTAGAGCCCCATGGCTAGGGTTGCCATCCGTCTGGTTTTCAGCCGGACTGTCCAGGTTGTCACCCGGGCACAGGTCACTCAGTGCCGACACCGGCACTTTTCTGACAGATGCGGCTGCTGAGGTCCTCAGCAAGCGCGATCTCGGGCAGCCGCATCTGCCTGAAACCGGATCTTCCTCTGAGCTGCGGGAAGCCTGTGCCTGTCTACAGGTGCCTGCAGTTCAGAGGAAGATGCGGCTGCCCGAGATTAAGCATCCCGGGGACCTCAGCAGCCACATCTGACATCTCCTCCTTCTCCTCATCCTCCGGCGCCTTGACTCCATGCTGCCCGCCTGCGGACCCCTGGTGAGACACAATAGCCCAGACAGCCCACCTGAGAGTTGTGCAACTCACCTGAGAGTTGCACAGCCCTCCAGAGAACCACACAGCCCATCTGAAAACCCGTACAGGCCACCTGGAGACATCAGGGCGCCAACCCAGAACAACACGGAGTATGTGGCTTCATATTATTTTGTATTGCTGTATAATGTATTGCTGGAATTTGTAATCCCCTAACTCCCTCCCCTGGCTGTCTCTTCTTGCTCTCTTTCTCCTGGCTGGCTCTTCTCTATATTCCCCCCCCCCCAAAAAAAATGCCGTGGCCAGTGCTAGAGTGTTCGGGCTTCACTTGAAGAAAGGGTGGCAACCCGACCCATGGCATCTTTACCAGTTCTATCATTAAATGTGTCACAACAGCAATAATGCAAACTGAAGATACATTGAAACAAACATGGAATGTGAGCAAGAGGAGATTAAAGAAATTTAAAATCAAACATTTTTGGATAAAGGAAGTAAATGGTTGAAACCCAAAATGCCCTTTTTATGCTGTCTGTCCATCTTTGGGGATATTTGTCATTACTTCCTGGCAAAAGCCACAACAGGAAGTGAGTAGAGTTTTGTCCAATAGAAAGGAAAGCCCATCTTAGACAGCTGTCACTTCAACAAGTGTCCCCATTGGAAGATTTCCCTTCTGTAGAAGTAGTGTTGTCACCCTAGAATAGGACTACAGAACCCTTCCGGTGCAGGGGTAGGCAACCTTGGCACTGCAGCTGTGCTCCCATCATGCCTCTGCCTCTGGGGGTCAGGCCTGTGGCTGTCAGAGTCCTGGCTCATGGGACTTGCTTGTAGTTCTGCAACAGCTGAAGTGCCAAGGTTGCCTACCCCTGCCATAGAAGGTTGGGGATATCTAGTCCACAAAGACAGCAGAAAACAATGCAACTGATAAGACTGCAGCTCAGACACAGAGCACAGGAAGTCATCAGCTCACATGATTTCTGGCAGGATCAACAGGAATTTTATCACGCTTATTGGACAGAAATAATAAAATGCTGTCAATGGAATATTTAACAGACCAAAAGGGAGCAAAGAAGAAATGTTCATTATTGGGGTTTACATACATCGTGACTTCCACTGAGACTGATATACGAACATATTTATGTTCTCTACAGATTATGTTGGCGTTACACAGTATATATTGAATGAATGTACACGGCAGATTGCGTCCGCGGACCAAAACCTTAAAGTAGATGTAAACCCAATCCCTAAAATCTCATACAACGTTATAATCATTTCAAAAGTCATTTTCGATATTTTTAAATCTGCAGTTACTGTTAAAATCCTCCCAGGAAGGGCATTTCCTATTACAGGGTGACAACACCCTGTCCTCCAATTGTGCTGCTGTGTTGTCACCCTGCCCCGTGCGCTTCCATTGGAGACCATAAGGACTCATTCACACTTGGTCATATTTTGGGTGTTTTTCTTTTTTTTTTTTTAGGCATTTTGGTGTTATTGCGTGTTTCAGGCTTTGGCATTTAAAAAAAAATGACTTTTAGCCAAAAGGAGAGCAAGTTAATAGGCGCGAAAACTGCACGTATTTCAGGCGCTCTGATTAAAGTCTATTGGCGCCAAAATCTAGCGCTAAAGAAGGTCACGTACCTTTTCGCACTGTGGGCGTTTTGCTACAAGTATCAGAACACTGAAACATGAACAGGGGCCACTGAAAACAATGAGATTCCTCCTGCTGAGCGTGGCCGCTACCAAAAACGCTCAGGTGCGAATGGGGCCTAGGAGGCTGCGCCAACAAACATTGTCACCAGGAACCCCATCCTCAGACAGGAAGTGGCTGCACAAAAGGCAGGGGGAGATCAGCAGCACGGAAAGGAAAACAGGACTGAAAAAAAGGTGAAAATAGTCATTTTTAAAAGAGAAAAAAACATGGTGGTTGTTTATGATAGACTGCGCTTTATCACAGAGTTAGAAAGTCCATATACCTTACCGGTCTGTCCCAATGATGATGGGTGCTCGCAATGACCGCAAATGGCGCCGCTCACAATGCAACAGTAGATAGAAAGATGTCATCAGCACTAGGAGTACTGATTACAACTTTCTATCTACTATTATCATAGAGTTAGGGCTCATTCACATGGATGTGCGCAGCCATGTAAATGAGCCCTTTGGGTTTACACCTACTTTCATTGCGCAGAGATCAAAGTCAATATACAGTATTATTCCCTCTCTAAAAGGGCTGCAGCCTATGTCGGCTCTATATAAATACATATACATATATTGTATGTACATAAGTGATGGTTGCATTCGCACTTACTGTGCGTTACCGACCTTTATTGCAGGCGGCGGGGTGGAGGATTGCCATGGCCAGGAGCACAGACAGGCAGAGATCTCTCCGGATCATCCTGAACGGTCACAAGCCCTCTCGCTCTCCACACGCGGCGTCTCTCTGTACGATTCGATAATATGGATTTATGAAGGCATAAAGCGTTACTGTACGGGAGAGGAAGGAAAAAACAGAAAAACAAGACGGTTGGCATTTGTGATTCTAAACCATCAATTCCCTGATCCTTAGCAGTCTGTCTGCCACCCCATGGGGTCTATGCAATCCCCCCAAAAAACTGTCGGTGTCACGCCGCCTCCATAGCAAAAAAAAAAAGAACCTAACCTGTAATTTTTGATAGAATGATGATACATTGATACATTGAGGATAGAATGATGATACATTGATACATTGAGGATAGAATGATGTTACATTGATACATTGAGGATAGAATGATGTTACATTGATACATTGAGGATAGAATAATGTTACATTGATAGATTCAGGTTGCAGTGATAGAATGATGATACATTGAGGATAGAATGATGATACATTGAGGATAGAATTATGTTACATTGATACAATGAGGATAGAATGGTGTTACATTGATACAATGAGGATAGAATAATGTTACATTGATACATTCAGGTTGCAGTGATAGAATGATGATACATTGAGGATAGAATGATGATACATTGAGGATAGCATAATGTTACATTGATACATTCAGGTTGCAGTGATAGAATGATGATACATTGAGGATAGAATGATGATACATTGAGGATAGAATTATGTTACATTGATACAATGAGGATAGAATGGTGTTACATTGATACAATGAGGATAGAATAATGTTACATTGATACATTCAGGTTGCAGTGATAGAATGATGATACATTGAGGATAGAATGATGATACATTGAGGATAGAATTATGTTACATTGATACAATGAGGATAGAATGGTGTTACATTGATACAATGAGGATAGAATAATGTTACATTGATACATTCAGGTTGCAGTGATAGAATGATGATACATTGAGGATAGAATGATGATACATTGAGGATAGAATTATGTTACATTGATACAATGAGGATAGAATGGTGTTACATTGATACAATGAGGATAGAATAATGTTACATTGATACATTCAGGTTGCAGTGATAGAATGATGATACATTGAGGATAGAATGATGATACATTGAGGATAGAATTATGTTACATTGATACAATGAGGATAGAATGGTGTTACATTGATACAATGAGGATAGAATAATGTTACATTGATACATTCAGGTTGCAGTGATAGAATGATGATACATTGAGGATAGAATGATGATACATTGAGGATAGAATTATGTTACATTGATACAATGAGGATAGAATGGTGTTACATTGATACAATGAGGATAGAATAATGTTACATTGATACATTCAGGTTGCAGTGATAGAATGATGATACATTGAGGATAGAATGATGATACATTGAGGATAGAATTATGTTACATTGATACAATGAGGATAGAATGGTGTTACATTGATACAATGAGGATAGAATAATGTTACATTGATACATTCAGGTTGCAGTGATAGAATGATGATACATTGAGGATAGAATGATGATACATTGAGGATAGAATTATGTTACATTGATACAATGAGGATAGAATGGTGTTACATTGATACAATGAGGATAGAATAATGTTACATTGATACATTCAGGTTGCAGTGATAGAATGATGATACATTGAGGATAGAATGATGATACATTGAGGATAGAATTATGTTACATTGATACAATGAGGATAGAATGGTGTTACATTGATACAATGAGGATAGAATAATGTTACATTGATACATTCAGGTTGCAGTGATAGAATGATGATACATTGATACAATGAGGATAGAATGATTATACATTGAGTATAGAATGATGTTACATTGATACATTCAGCTTACAAAGATAATACAATGTAACCTCCACCCCATCAAAAAAAAAAAAGGAAGATTCCTTGAAGATTACATTGTATCAATTTGTAGATATGACACACACGCACACACATACACACACGTTTTCACCTCCCCCCTTCACCGTTGGCTTGCCATCTTGTCGCACAACTCACGCGAGACGGAATCCGCACAGGCTTTTTCAATAAGGACATTAAAAATGTGCAAAATTCTGCCACCCATGAAGACTGAAAACTCGCCCGGCACCACAAAAGTCGGTGCCCTCCGTCTCACTTTCACCGAACGTGGAAAAAAACAAACCTGACGCGCTGTGTGATACACATCAGCGCAAACAGCGAGAAGGATGCTGTTCAACATGCTGTAACCCAGAGCAACCGAATTTCAGTGCATGCAGAAGAAGGAGACGGTTGCTATGGGTTACTGTGCTGCCTCACTGAAGGTACCATTTATGGAAAAGGAATAATGAAAAAAAAAAATACCCGGTTGTTGTCCACGTTAGCCGCCTCGCTGTACCGTCTACGCCTGTCTCACGGTCTCAATGTCACAGGTTGCAGTCTGTAGGCTGCCTCTGTCGGCGTGTGTGTGTGCGTGTCCCCCCCCTGAACCTCCCACAGCGGTCCTGTGTGTCTCTGTCTGGCTAGACGTCCCCCTCTGAGGATGCTGAGTAGGGTGCTGTACCAATGGCTTTGCTGTCAGGACTCCGGCCAGTGTTCT